CACAGCCGTACTTCTGCCAGTACCACGGTCCCAATGGCTCACACGCGACCGTAGACTGCCACAAGTTGCGGAGCGAGTTCCTCCAGAACTACAACGAGATCAGCGCCTACTTGAGCGGCAAGAGGGGCGCCGAGGGGGCCGCTCGACCACGTGGCGGATAGCAGAACCTTTNGGTCCCAATGGCTCACACGCGACCGTAGACTGCCACAAGTTGCGGAGCGAGTTCCTCCAGAACTACAACGAGATCAGCGCCTACTTGAGCAGCAAGAGGGGCGCCGAGGGGGCCGCTCATCCACATGGCGGATCGCAGAACCTTGGGCGGGTTGGTGGTCCACCTGGACAGCAGTCGTACCAATTTCAAAGCGGTGCGGGCTGGAGTCAGGGCCACCATCCTGCGCCTCAGGGGCCGCCACGTGGACCAGGACCCGGAGCTGGGGGACAGATGCAGGGGCGCAACGCTGGGGGGCGCGGCTGCGGCGGCTACGGGCCTCATCCCTACGACAGCCGTGGACGAGGCGGCGGCCGCGGGGGTAATTTCCCGCCGGCCAACATACCTGCAGGGCAGCTTGCCAGCGTCCCACGGCCAATTTTTCCGGCTCACGTGGCAATGGGTGGCGGTGATTCGTTCGGAGGCGAAAGCAGCTCGGGATGGCAGGCAATGTCGGCGCCGCCACCCACACCAAGTTGGTCCCCATCACCTTCCGAGGCGGGATACGGGTACGGGCTCGCGGCTCACGGANATACTGCCCTTCTGCTGCAAGTCCCGACGCGTATCAGCCGAGAGTCTACACCGAGGCCTTCTACACCTTGGAGCAGCCGGCGCCCTCCCCGCAGCAGCAGGTGAGTTTTGAGCAGCAGCAGCAGCAGAANTACAACGAGGCCTTCTACACCTTGGAGCAGCCGGCGCCCTCCCCGCAGCAGGAGGCGAGCTTTGAGCAGCAGCAGCAGCAGCAGCAACAGTACCACGGCGTATCTCAGGCGACCTCTTCCTCCTCCTCTCCCTCTCCAGATCCAGGCGGCGTTCTACCTCCTGCTGGCGACGCCCCTCTTCGTCTCTTCATGGCACGTAGTGTGTGCCCTCGAGGCAAGTTTAATTATTTTCTTGAGTCGGAGTTTGGCTTTACGGCGTCTGATGTTTTCGTACCTACTGTACCCGGTGTTGACCCTGAAATGCTTGCGAGTCACGAAAAGAATCACTGTTTTTCTGAGCACGATTTGCATAGGCTTGCTTACCCGAGTGTATCTGCAATGTTCGAGAATTATGAAAAGGAGACCGGTTTTCATGAGCCTGATGCAATTGTGCCTGGTGTGCCTGACGTGATTGTGAGTGCTGAACCTGAANCCAAGCGTCCCACAGTAGACAAAGCTTTTCTATGCCAACCGTACATGCCGAATCCGAAGGGTAGCGAGCAGTGGCAGGCCGATTCTGGAGCGAGCGCGATGATTTCAAATCAGATAGATCACATGTACGAAATTCGCCACTTGGGCCAGGATGAACAATTCATTCAAATTGGAGACTCGGCTCTCATCAAAGTTGCAGCTGTAGGAAGCTTAGACCTTCGGTTCCACCAAATCGGAGCCGACGGGAAACAGGAGGATATAGACATTACTGTGCCAGAAGTTTTGTTTGTGCCTGGGTGTGGCTTTAATCTATTTTCGGTTTGGAAAGTTTCGCACAAGCATGAGGTCCGTATAAGCCCCAGCGGAACTCAAATGCTGCACGGTAAACTACGATTCATCCGTGGCGTGTCAAGTGACTCC